TCCTGGTGATGCAGCATCTGATTTTGCACCTACCATACGAGGCACGAATGGGGGGGCCGTGCAGGCCCGTTGGTGCTATACAATTGAGAGATGTCTAAAGATTCTTCGGAAAAAGTGTAGAAATAAAGCCAAAATTGAGGCTTCTGTGGTAGAGGCATTCATTCTGGAGGAGGTGTCAAACTTCACAACAACATACTATAAGGATGGCCTTCCCAGCGTGCACAATCGTCCCCCTCGTTACAACACGGACGAGAGTTCATCGAACCTCGGCCTTTTCAAAGGGCAACTCGGAAAGGCAAGCGCATCGGGCACCAAGACCTTGCGGCATGATGAGTGGCGCACTATCATGCTGTTTGTGTTGTTGAACCTTGATGAAGTGAAGCCTTATGTGTAGTAAGTTCTCAATGAGCTTGTTACATACGCCCTTGTCACTATCCTCCATCTATCCAACCCCCTTATCTCTTGTTTTTTCAGGGAATTTCTGAATAAATACTGGAGAGGGAATATGGCTCCTTCCCCTCAAGAAGAAGATAGTCTTCTCAAAGATGGTGTGCCCGATTTCATATCCTGGTTCGATACGAAGGTACCGTCCAATTTACCTCGTTCAATCTTTGACATCCCACTTTGCTCCTATGAGCGAGTAACGTAACGATCTATCTGGCCTCACCTTACAGGCCTGCAAGGATGCAGAAATAGATGCTGAGTTGAAAGGGCTCGCCAAAGGCTTCGCCTACAAGGTCAAGTCATTCACCGTTTATGATGTGAATGGCTATCGCTTTCACACAAGAAACTACGAGCGGAGTCGGCCCAATCGAAAAACCATGAATACCGGAGTTCGTACGCCCGGAACCGATGAGCGCGACTACTACGGCATAGTAGAAGAAATATATGAGCTCAATTTTGAGTGTCGCAAACTCCTAATCCAGTCGTATTCAAATGCCATTGGTTCGATCCTAATGTCACGAGAACAACCCCTGAGATTGGACAAGTCGAAATTCGACAGGATTCTGTCTATCAAGGAGAGGATGTCTATATTGTGGCTCAATAGGCCACGCAAGTTTATTATCTCCCATGGGCATGCCAAAAAGACCCCAATCTTATCGGTTGGCACCTTGTGCAGTTGGTATCGCCGCACGGTAAACTGCCTGTCCCAAACGATGAGGATTACAACTTTGACCCAAACACACGGGAGTTCTATCAACCAGAGGGGCTAGAAGGGAGGTTTGACATAGACATGTTTTCACTGATGGGCATGGAAGTAGACAATGACATTGATCAGGACGATGGAGATGAGGACGATGGAGAAGAGGTGCAAAATGCTAAGGACTTACAAATGCTTGAACAATTACAGTTAGGCGATGACAATGATGACAACGATGGAGATGAGCCCGATTTACTCGACAATATTGATAGTGATGACGACACCTATGATCCAGCTGCTGCCGATCATGAAGAATATTTCTAATTCATGTAATACTATATTATTATTATTATTATTATTATTATTATTATTATTATTATTGCAATTATGTTTCGTTCATTTTGCATCTCTTTATAAGTACTTGTAATTTAACTGTGCTAATTGGTTTACTCTTTGAAATTGCAGGCACTCGACAAAATGCCGGGCGGAAGGCAAGCCCGTCGGGGGGTCAACTCCCTCTACATGAGGGAGCGCTCACCACCCCACGCTGAGGAGGACCCCTTGCCGGAGCCGCCGACGAGGAGGACGAGGAGCGGCCGCCCCCGCGGCCGTCTGAGGATGAGGGTGTAGCCGGCTGCCACCCCGTCGGTGGACGAGGACGACCAGGCGATGGGCCTGCACATAGGAGGGGGTGGCACTTCCTCTGACTCGTCGGACCACGGGGAGGCGGCGATAGCGACAGCAGGGGGTTCCACTTGCACTGCCTCTGGCTCTACCTCGTCGGGAGTCTACTTGCGTGGGCCCTCACAGCTCCCGGCGCGGCCGATCCCACTTCACCGATGCCCGGTGATTCGACCCAGCGGCGACAAGTAAGTATTATTTCACTACTATTTCATATGACATGTTGAAAATCGAACTAGAGACTAACAATTCTTCTTAATGACTCTTGCAGCAACTGGGAAGTTGTGTCCGGAACGGGTCGGCACATCAATGGCACCCTGGGCCTTCTGATTCGGCAGCACTACCCTGGCATGGTCACCTATGCCTCGGTGACTTCGCCGCCCTGGACGTGGGACCACTTCTACGCCATCGAGGACAGCGAGTTCGGCACCGTTGCGGCGCGGATCAAGGCCGAGTTCTGGGCGAGTCTTCATCGCACTAAATTGGTCAATACTACGCATTCATTGGTCATTCTTGAAATAATGAAACGATACATGATGTCTGTATGCAGGACTTCTTCAGGTGCGACAAAGGGTTTGAGGATCGGGCAGCGCGAGTGCAGGACAAGGTCTGTAGGTCCCGACTCTCGGACCTATACCACAAGACGCGGCTCCAGTGCATCATCAACTACAACGCCGACGTCCTTGGTCAGGTGGTGAGGAAGGTCGATGCCAGGACCAGGACGCTCACCAAGGAGCAGTACCTCTCGGTAAGTACGAAACATTAATACTGACTTCTTCCATGAAGAATAGGTAGGCTTCATTTCATCTTCTGACATATCAATAACTTGATGGCATGCAGCAATGTCCTGATTGGTGCGCCAGGCACCACCTCTGCTGGGAGGCCATTGTGGACAGGTGGCTCTCGGAGGAGTGGGCGGAGAAGCACAACATCCGTCGGGACTACCGCCTGCAGATGGGTGGGGCGCCACACCACCAAGGCAACCGGAGCCTCAGCGCGTACGCCCAGACATGGGTAACCTTCTTTGTGTTTTCATCTTTATTTATTTATTCTAACGCTCAATTCTCATTACTTGTAATCATCTTTGTGTTTTCCTCGCAGTCCTAGGCGCACCAAGGCTAGGAATGCAATGAGTTCATGGCGTACGCCCTGGCTCACAAGGGTAAGGCGACGGCCCCGGAAGTCACCTACAACCCGGCGGACAGGCCTGAGGCGTACACCAACGCGAGCGTCCACAGCAAGCTTAGCGAGTACACCTCGGCGGCCCACGAGCGCCATGGGGAGGACTTCGATCCGGCCACCCAGCCCCTGGACACAGACCTCCTGATGAGGCTGGGAGGAGGGAAGCAGCACGACCGGTACTAGATGGCGGACAGCACAGTCGACTCCGCCTCTGTTCCCATCCTCGCTGAGATTTGAGCAAGGAGCACGAGCTCCTCCCTCCCCATACGCTCTCGGCAGCAGAGCTCACAGCAACAAATGGCAGAACTCCAAGTTAGTACTGTTTTATTCGTCGTTCATTGCTTTTACACATCTACCTTGCCTTTGCATTGTTTAAACATTGTGGGTGGAATGTTGCAGGCCGACTTGCGGAGGTTGGAGGCCCAGCAGACGGCCCAGGCGGAGGCCCATCGGCTGGAGATAGAGGCTGTATAAGCCCAGAGGGCGGCCGAGGCGCAGAGGCTGCAGGACATGTTCAGCTTCATGGCGAGCCTTCAGGCCTTGCCAGGTGTGGTCGTGCCCCAGTCGCTGCTCGCTCCAGTTGTGGCTCCTCCTCCTCCTGTAGGGACTCCGGTGAGTATATATGGTTGTTTATTTCTTTAGCTTGTGCGGCCCTCCTGTAGATACTCATGAATTCGCTTCTCCTTTGTGCAGCCACAGTCGATGGGTTCGAACCCGACTCCTCAAGGTGGCCCTTCTCCACAGGACGGGTGGCCAACTGGCCCTCCTCAAGGTGGCAGTTCACACTCCGGGTGGGGAGGCTGACAGTAGGTACTGTTTATTTGTTTTTTTTTCATGTTGCATGGACTTGTGTTAGACTTAGCCTTATGTTAGACTACTACTAAAGACATATATATATTGTGATGGATATTGTCATGGATGATGCGAATATATGTGATGGATTATGGACAATGGATTTGTATGTGATGTATTATGGATGGTGGATGTGTATGTGATGGGTTATGGATGTGTATGTGATGGAATATGGATGTGTATGTGATATATCCTGTGCTGTGTGTTGATCTATATGTGATTTCTTTGTTTGTGCTGATGAAAAGCAAAAAACCAAAAAATAGCATTTTCCCCTCTTTGCCGAGTGCCACACTCGACAAGAGGGTTTTGCCGAGTGCCGTGACCATGGCACTCGGTAAAGCTGGGAAGCAGAGACCCAATTTCCCAGCTTTGCCGAGTGCCAGAGCCATGGCACTCGGCAAATATTTTTTTTTAAAAAAAAAGAAAAAATTTCTTTGCCGAGTGCAAGAGTATGACACTCGGCAAAGAATTTTCAAAAAAAAAAATTCTTTGCCGAGTGCCATTGCCGAGTGCCGCTGAGATGGCACTCGGCAAAGAGGCCGTCAGAGTTGACGTCGGATTTTTTTTACCGAGTGCCCGATATGTGGCACTCGGCAAAGAAACCTTTGCCGATTGCTCTTTGTCGAGTGCAATAGGGGCTTTGCCGAGTGCCCTAAGCACTCGGCAAAGAGCCCGTCTGCAGTAGTGATGGGATCTCACTAAGGGCATGTTTAGTTCCACTCCAAAATGCCAAAATTTTCAAGATTTCTCGTCACATCGAATCTTTGGACGCATGCATGAAGCATTAAATATAAATAAAAAATAAAACTAATTACACAGTTTAGACGAAATCCACGAGACGAATCTTTTAAACCTAATTAGACTGTGATTAGACACTATTTCTCAAATAACAACGAAAATGCTACAGTAGCATTTCGCCAAAAAAAAAACGGCATCCAAACGGTGCCTAACTGAACTAATTTAATGTATTGATGTCCGCAGAGAAGCTCTGCAGTACTCATATATATACAGGAGTGCAATTTAATCATCATATAAGTACGGATAGCTTGTCACATGAATGGTTGGGCCTCCTGGATGATGCTCGTCGAAGAAGCTCCTAATTGCAGCCTCTATAATTGGCACTTGTGACTCTTCGCTTCCAGATCTAGAGTAACCCAGACAGATGAAAACCTTTTTTCAGATTTGGCAGGTGCTCGATGCCCTGAACATGCGAAGCTAGCCAAGCATACGGCCGGCCTTTTCTCAACAACAGCAATGCTTGATTCAGTTCAATGGCTTCTGTTCCGCCACCACCACGAAGTGTGGCGACATAGTTCAGTTCTCGCACATGCAATCGAAAGCAAAGGATCTTGAACATGGGCATTGCTCCAGCCTGAAAGTGGAAGGGGAGGCCAGCTTGAGGTGCTGCAAAGTAAGTAAGAGCCCTGAACACCGTGCCCCTGCTGAAGACAATACCTCCAGCAGGGACATGGTTCGCCTTCAGCACAAGACGGGCGAGTGCAGGTAAACCTGCAAGAACAGCAATGCCATCCATATCCAGCTCGTCAAGGTGTATTTCCAAGATCATGAGCGTGCTAAGCTGACCAACCCACGCAGGTAGCCGCGGAAACCGGAATCGTAAGTGCAGTTCCTCAAGATGACAGCCAGACAAGCGTAAAGAGTTCCACCCATCACAGTGACCTATCATGTCATCATATGCAAAAGCAGTTAAACGCCTCAAATTGCAACTGATTAACTTCTCGATGGAATAAAGCAGAGCTCCCATGTGTGCTTCCATTGTGTAGAAGCTCCGATCAGTGATATACATGTTCAGCTCCCTTAGATTTAGCAATTCCCCAAGAGCCCTCAAATTATCCACCGACTGCTTGCATGGATCGAAGGAATCCAGAGTATGCAGAGATTTCATATTGCTGATTCCATCAGGATAAGCTGTGCATGGATAAACCTCCAGATATGACAAAGTAGGCAAATGGACTATGTCATGTGGAAAATGGGACAATTGCCCACATATCATCAATGTCTCCAGATGATGCAGCTGGCAAATTTTTCTAGGCAGCTCAATGCTTGATAGATGGTTATTACTTTTAACATATAAATACCTCAGTTGAAACAAATTCCCGATTGGAGTGAGATCCAAATCGCCAACCTTACAAACAAATAGAACTTGGAGAAACTTCAGCTTCAACGGTTCAAGGCTACGGAGAGAGAGCCCAAAAATAAACAATGATCTCACATGTTGCAGACTCATTTGACTTTGAGATGCAATTTTATCAAGTCCTGACTCATTAAGCTGCAGGGAGAGCCGCCGAGCATTGTACTGTTGTCTTGTGGTGATTGTATGTAGGTTTTGTACTACACCCAAAAAATTCTCTTCTGTAGACTTGGACAAAATTAGATCTAGAACCATATCATGCACTTTGTAATATATAAGCTCATTGTTCCAACCATTAAGTTTAACAAGCTGGATGATCATGCTACTGTTCACAAGCTCATTGAAATAGCTCTGTGCAGTTGCCAATGCATCTCTCCCATCTAATCCACTAACAAAACCTTCAGCGACCCATTGCATAACTAAGTGGTTCACTTCAATGTCATGGTCCTCTGGATACATACCAATATATAATAAACATGTCTTGAGATGATGAGGAAGATGTGTGTAGCTAAGGTTTAGTATCTGTCTCATCCCTTCTAAGGATGGAGTTGACAGATTGGAGCGTAGAGAATTGAGGACATAGTTCCATTGGCATAGTGACCTATTGGATTGACTAGCTAAAAGGCTAGCTATACTGATGATTGCTAGTGGCAGACCACCACATTTTTGTAGAATTTTCTCAGATGGTTCTTCAAATGACTGAGGACATGCATTTCCCGACCCAAAAACTCTACGATGAAACAACTCCCTGGAATTATGATCATCAAGAGGTTTCGTCATGTAAACAAAGTCCCACTGAAAATTGCAACATGCCACAGCCACCCTTTCAATTCGCGTAGTTGTCAACACTTTGCTACCATAGTGGCCCTCAGGGAAAGCACATTTAACAATTTCCCAAGCAGATGCATCACATAAATCATCAACTACAACAAAATACCTGCCAAATATGTTTGTCAATATACATATATTAGTATGACACGTGAAGTAAAAGTCGTCTTCTGAATATATGTTGAACTTTAGTCTCCAAAATAATAAGTTCATGAAACATGTCATCTGTTATGGCAAGTGGAGCCGGCCCAGGGGCCCACGCGGTACTATTGCGCGTGAACAGATTAGATTAGATTGGTTTGGCTTTCATAGGAAAGAGATATGTTAGATTGATTCGGTTAGAATATTTTTTTAGGGGTCAAGTCAGTCATCTCTATAAAAAAGAGAACCCTATATCATTGATAGTCAAGCAAGAAGAAAGCAACAATTAAGTTGCTGGCTTCCCTTGGGAGCCAGCCGTCCCTGCCCTCTCTCTCTTGTGTGAACAGTGCCAGCGTACTGTAGCACCGCGAGTACTGTAGCCCGCCCGTCGCCGCCTCTCCCTCAGCTCTCTCCCTCTCAATCCTAGCAACCACATAATAATCTGGTATCAGAGATCTCTGGTTCGATCATGTCCAGCCCTCTACCGAGTTCTTCCCACCTGCCACCGTCGCACACCCACCCGCCGCCACCAGCGTCTTCGTCGGCGCTGCTGCCCCACACATCAGGCGCGCCGGCATTGGGCGCGCTGGCGTCCTCAGGGGTGATCGCGCCCTCTGCCCCGGCGCCGTCGTCTCCTGCCGCCCTCGTCCTCACCCCGGAGCGGATGACGGCCGCAATCCTGGAATTAGGGCAGGCCGCGGCGGACATCAGGGCCTTCCTCGTCGGGCCCTATGCACCCCAGCCGCAGCCGTGGTGGAGGACCCTGTGCTGCAGCAGGGGTCCGTGGCTGTGGATGGCATAGATCAGCATGATCTTGTCGATGCCACCGCCGCCGACGAGACTCTCGAGCATGCCTTGCACATGGAGGAGCTCATGCAGATCACCGACTGCAACCAGCTGCGCGGCTTCGACGAGGCACCAGCGGCCGTCCACTTCGCCGAATCGGATCGGATCGATTCCGCTGTGGTTGCTGCATGCCGTCCTTAACGACGTCGCCAGCAGCACCATCGGTAGCCGTAGTGGTGCCAGTGCAGTTCCACACTACTACACCACTTGCTGCATCGGCGCCATCACCAACAACGACGGTGTCAGCTACGTCGTTGCGCTCCTCTTCCCCCGCCATGGTCACATCACCAATGAAGGCCCCGGCTGCCACAACTCCGGCAGTCTCATCACCAGCTTCGCCAACAACCCCGCAGGCACTAGTGTCACCAATGCAGGCGATCATCCATGCACCGACATTGGCGGACATGGTGCCTTTGTCGCTGCCTCTACGAGCCCCAGCACCGATCCCTCGAGCAGGGCCGTGGCTGTTTGCATGCGCTTATTCTCCGCCGGCTTAGCATCAGGCTTTCAAAGCTCCATCAGTCGCTTGGAGTACGCCTCCAGCATAGCCCCGCTCTGCTGCACCCATAGCGGGGGTGGCTGCTCGTGGAGGGCACCTATCGACTCCACGTGCAGGCGCTCCATGGATTCGAGCCGGGCGGATTCGATTCCAGGCAGATCAGATGGAGCAGCCAAGTTTGGCACATCGAGGAGGAAGGTATAGATCGTGCACCACTACAGAAGCAGATCCCATGGGACGGAGTTGATTTTGGGGAGCCATATGCCTTCCGCCTCGACTACAACCGCAACATTGGTCTCCTTCAGCAGGTCTGCCATGACGATCTTCTCTGGACTGCAAGGTCTTCTGCTCCAGCAATCACCACAGCTTGAGAACGAGCTGTCTTGAAGGGGCGGAGTAGTGTTATGGCAAATGGAGCCGGCCTAGGGGCCCACGCGGTACTGTAGCGCGTGAACATATTAGATTAGATTGGTTTGGCTTTCATATGAAAGAGATATGTTAGATTGATTCGGTTAGGATATTTCCTTAGGGGTCAAGTCAGTTATCTCTATAAAAGAGAGAACCCTGTATCATTTATAGTCAAGCGAGAAGAAAACAACAATTAAGTTGCTGGCTTGAGCCAGCCGTCCCTGCCCTCTCTCCCTCGCATGAACAGTGCCCGTGTTACCGTAGCGCCGCGGGTACTGTAGCCCGACCGTCGCCGCCTCTCCCTCAGCTCTCTCCTCTAGCAACCACATAACATCATCATCCACTTGTCAAAAAACCACACATTATTTTGACAAACATTATGCAATACACATACCACACTTATTAAATTAGCTTCCCAAAATTCCCAGATCTTTTTATTAAAGATTGCAACATTACCCATATGATATGTATTGGACCGAGATTGTTACAACATATAGACAAACCTTAAAAACTTCTTGTATTTGGATCAGCAAAGTAAAAGAAGATAAATTCGACTCTATATTTAGTTTTGAAATTGTGAATCTGCATGTAATTTTAATTTTTGAAGAATTGAAACATAATGCTGGCTAAAGAAGTGTAGACTGTGTTGGGGTGAGGTACATATGAACTTCAAGCCATACTGCCATGTAATGTATGTAAGGACCAAACAGGGGGAATAGGAAATCTAATCAATTCCATGTAACTAGGTCCATGTGTTGTTAAAATTTGAATTGTGTGGACAATTCCTTTAGCAGATAAACCCAACAAAGCAGCTACATACATAGTTTCTATATATTCAACATAAATCCAAAAGGGAGCCTCCTCCCACAAAAAAAAAATATGGACACAAATATACAAAATACATACCCTTAGGAAGCAATAGTTAACTACCTTTTGTCTTGTAGATACATTCTAAGTTTGTTTATGAGCCCATTAATGTCGGAAGTATCAACCAGTGGCCCCAACATTTGTGCGGCCAAACTTTTGAGAAGCATCATCATGTCAGGTCTTTGAGACACTGATACAAAGGCCTTACAATCAAAATCATCTCCAAGCTTGGCGTACACTTCATTTGCAAATGTAGTCTTTCCTAGACCTCCAAACCCAACAATAGACACCACCCTTGGCTCTTGCACCGAGGAATCATCCACCTTCATAAACCAATTCAAAGACAAGTAGGCACATAAATTGTCTAGAATTTACTATAAACCCCTGGTCACAATAAATCTATAATGAACCACAAACAGATCAAAATAACAACAATAGGATACCAACCTGCTTTGTCAATAAATTAATTATGTCTTCCTTCGGGCCATCAATACCACCAACAAGTCTCGACGATTGCGCATAAAGAGCAGTCATCCGAGGGTCGACATCAACATTGCTAGATCCAGATGCGCAGTCATCTAGTTTGTACCTCACATGAGGGTTGACAACAACACTGCTAGATCTTGATGGGTAGTCGTCTCGTTTGTACCTCATGCGCCGTGCACTAGCTTCTTGCACGCGAGCCTTCAGCTCCTGGATTCGATTGGCTAGCTGGTGCCGTGCCCTTAGCGTCTTGAGACGATGCAGCAATCCTTTACCATCACTGGAATCTCCAACGCGATGCATAAACTCATCGAGGCAGTCCTCGATGCCTTACGACATCTCCCTCACTTTGTTTCTCCACTGCTTGGTTTGGTTGTCCAGACCCTCCATGTCTGCAAGATCCTCAAGAAGAGCACCCATGCTGCAGAGCTCCTCATGAAGGAAGGCCACCTGCAGGTAGTTGGGCTCAAGAATTAGGATCAAATAAAGAGGGCAGATAAGAGGCTATGAGACTTTATTTGGTTGGAGGAAGAAATAGCATCCATACAAAGTGAAATACATAGTTAAGGTAAATCTGAGGATACATGAAACAAAAAATGGATCATCAGGCACCTGTTTCCGCACACCCTTGAGCTTGGCATACTCTTCCACCATAAGAGTGGCTAGCTTTCCTAGGAGCGAGTTCAGCACTCCCGTAGAAGTGCTCACTGGCATTTTCTCTACCACATTGACTGAACTTCACCATCTCTGTGATTTACACACAAAGCACTGCAGAGCTCGTACTCGTTGAATGGTGCTATCTTAGCTTGTCTGCATAAACAATCGATTGCACAGTCAAAATCTTAGGAAACAAACGATGGTACAGTCAAAACCCCTGAGGTGCGAAGAAGGAACGAGGTTACAGGCTTACAGCACCATACCTTGCGGCCGGGGCGACAAAAAAACCAGCGGAGTGCAGCCGGATCCCGGAAGCCGGCGGCCGGCGGGCCTGATTCGGACTATCCGCCTGGATTGAAACGGATGGTAGCAGCAAGGACGGAGCAAGGTGCGGCCATGCTAACTGCTATGAAGGTGACGGCCAGGGTATGGCCTGACGTCTTACCAATTGGGCGAGGGAAAAAAAAACACTTGGCAACTTGGCAGGCCACCTATAGACAATATGCTCCCCACCGGAGCTGGCCGACAACCTCAGGTCAGCGCAACGACGATTTCAGGTCTCCCGTGTTGACACTTTACACAGTTGTGGGCCCGAGAGCCATGCTACCATGTAAAATAGTATATCTTTACTTAGGAAGTTTCATACCGGGACCAAGAGCGTCTGCGAGAGTTTCCTAAATTCCTTTTCTAATTCTTGGTTTCCAGTAAGATGAGAAAAAATCCTCTCCAACAACTATAATCCATCCTCCTAATCTTTTAGAACTTAGAAAAAGTCACCTTATTCCGCATAAAGTTACGTACTTCCGAGCCGCGCGTATCTTCTTTTCTAGCACGTGTTTGTTGACCAATCTAAAGGTGAAAGGCGTGGAAAGAATAAAGAGTTGGAAAGAGTTCCTGATGCAAATATACAAAATAGAGAAAGAATATATAAAAGTGGTTAGGATAATTTAAAAATAGTATAGGATTGCTGATATAAAATTATCTTCTATATTTTAGGAGTGAATTATTAGAAACTTTTGGAAATAACCTTCTTTATTTCTTCTAATATTTTTTTAGGAGTTACAAAACTCTATGTCTTGAAAGAAAATACTAGATACTCTTGAAGATGCTCTAATTACTTCAGCTAAAATTAGCTCTAGCCCATCCAAATAGGAAGCTAATAAATGAGCTAATTTTTAACTAGGTTTTCAACTAGTTGTTAGTCAATTTCGGTTAATTTGAACTAATTTAGCCCAACTAGTAACTACTCTAGTTCATGCAAGCATGCCCTTACGGAAACAGAAATATCAATGTTCCAACTCCAACTATCTTGCCAGATCTTTTAATAAAACAGTAAGTACAAAGCAGGCTCAAATGTCCCTAGTTAACAACATAGTCTTCGTCATTCTCGTCATCGTCCGTTGTGGATTGGAACGATCCTCCATGTGAAGAGTCTGAGGCATCCTGTAAAGCATCGTGTGTGAATCACATCAGCGTTATGGTTTCCCAGTAAATTAAACTTCACCAAAATGCCATTTACCTGGTGTGATGCCTGGTCCTCAGCCACTGGTTGGGCACCACAAGGCAATGGATTATGCTGCAGATGAACATGCCATACGAAAATCTTAAGCTTCGTTTGGATAAGAAATTATTTTTTAGGGGAAAAAAATAAGGAATCAATTTTAATCTCAGTCATGTGTCCACCTGAGGAGCTTCCGAGGACACCCTGCCTTGCATCCTTTGCTCCAAGGACTGAAATCTCTTCTCCCAAGCTTCATTTAATTGCTGCGTTGCCTGACTAATCATCTCCTGCACCTGGTCCTGTGTGAACATCTCTTTCTTTGTTACTTCATCTACACAACCTGGGGTGGATTTTGCCATGGCACCGATTCGGGCTTTGTCAATGATGCCCTGGACTCTATAGTACCTCCCTTGTTTCCGCCCCCCTGCCGCCTGCTGTGCCCATACAAGATTGAGATCTACTTCAGTATCACCTGCCTCCAAATGACGTTTGAAGCGCTCCTGAAAATATAGTGGTGTGCAAACACAAATGATCTTTAGGTAACAAAATCAAACTAATTTCTAAGACACTCCTCCATTTGAAATTAGAACCATTTCGTTTCGTTAAGACAAACTTTTGACCAACAAATTCTTTAGTAATACATGATTTCTGAAATACAAAATTGACGGCATTAGATTCGTCTTGAAAATACTTACTTATGGTTATGATATTGTATCACGTAAATGACATACTAGTAGAGTAATTGTCAATCAAATTCTTGTCCAAACAAACAAAATAGTCCTAATTCGACAGAGGGAGTAGTTGATAAGATGGAGATGTAATTATTAATTGACAAGGTGCAGGCCATCAAGTACGTACCACGGTTTTCTTAGCTTTCTCAGTGACAAATTCTCCCTTACCACCATTGTGTTTGTGGGTCTTATTGAATACTTCGATATCTGATACTGGCTTCCCACCATTTTCTATTATCTGTATTAGTTCAGTAAGAATCATAAAACCTGTGACTAATAGTGTGAATCAGACAACAATTTCAGTCTTACCATAAGTTTTCGATGCATGGCTATGCTCCGCGAGCCTGCCGTGTGCTGGGCAGAACCTCCTGTGTATCTGTTTTTCCTCTTCTGGGCCGAGACTTGCAGTGCTTCTTCTGAAGCCCAGTGCTCACATAGCATTTCCCACCACTTTGGTTGCATCCATTCAGGGGGGAAAGGCTTCCACTGCAACGGGTCATCATCCTCACTCCCAGCTGAAGCTGGAATTCTGTGCTGCTGCTTCAACTCTTTCCCAGCCAAATTTGTCTTTTTGGACCTGGCAGCATCCAACGCTTCCTTAGATTTCCTTGATGCAACCAATTTCACCCTAGCCCTTCGCTTCTCATCACACAGGATTGAATTGAATTGTCTGACTACTTTGTGTTCAAATAACTTCAGACACTCTGCTTCTTGTCCAGGGCCCCACTTGTAGCGTTGCTGCAGTAATACGATAGAATGGTGTTCAGTCACACCTAGAAACATGTTATTGACTTAAGAATCTTACAAGGAATTCATCCAAAATAATAGCCCTTGTATCTGAATGATACTGGTGCCAATGGAGAATCAATTCTTCGTGGTGCACTTCATTTGCGAGTTGATTAGCTGGCATGTAGGTTGATCCTGGGTGCCACTGCTTGAGAAGCGTAGAGATGGTGTAGGCCACCTTGGAACAAGGAGGTTCTACATCCCAGGTGCCGCTAAATATAAAAGGTCAATATATCATGTAAGATTATAAAGTACAAGTCATCCCCAGCATCTGGCGATATGCATATATATATAACTTACAAGACGTACTCAATGTTATTTGGAGTTAGCACAGGCCTGTATGCTTCCCTACGTGGTTCGATGAGTTTTGTTGGGCCCCGTCCCCCACGCTTTTTGGGTGGTCTGTTTATAGATCCTATGCCAACAGATTGTTTACCCTGCACGTGCTCAAGTAGTCACCAAAAATGAAGAATGTTTGCAGAGTGTAGACACTTCTTTTTCATAGAAATTCCATTGATAATAATGAGGCATTTCCACCGATGCCACTGGATTCAGTAAGGCAGTGGCGAACACTTGAAGTAAAAAAATAGTGGAGAGGAGTATACCTGGGAATGGTGAGCTTCTAATGATTTGTAATGAGGTGGTGATCGCTGAACTGGTGGTCCTGTGTGACCAGAGATTCAGAGAACATACAACAGTGCTAGGTAAAAGAAAATGATGTTAGAGAAATATCTAGAGAGTTGAGGTTCAGAGTGGATACAAACTTGAGACAACAGAAGGTGGAGTTGCAACAGGCAAGGGAGTGGCAGTCGGCAGAGGTGTAGAAGTAGTAGCATCCACTCTCTGGTTGGTACTAGTATGGTGTTGTTTCGCAAAATAATCCCCCTCAGTTAACAAATTCCTAGACCCCTTTGCTGTATTCCTGTAATGGCCCGAATATTTGTTGTGGTTAAACCCAACTTGCGCCTCCTCTGACTGACTGTCATGGCTGGGGTATTCTTGTACATATTGCCTGTGCAGAATATCAGCCGGTGGATTCTGCTTCTGTTTGCTACTTTTATCAGAAGGAACTATGCCATTTAAACATTCCTGAGGCATTTCATGCGCTTGTACTGAACCAAAGCCCTGGTTAGCAAGAGAACATGTAGCCACGGCTTGGTGCTGTCTGTCTGGGAAGCAGTCACTTTGAGATATACAATGATTGGTGGAGACAGGTGGCAAGGTTGCATCAATGTTCAAGTCATCTGAGCTTGCCTGCGATACCTGCTTCTCAGGCAAGGCACTGGGGCACAGCCTGGTGATGATTCTGTCAATATCTGAAGGATCAAATTGATTTTCATCTGGAGAAGAAGCTATCTGCTGGATAGGATCCCTGTCTCTCTTACCTTGAGGCTGCACAAGCTTACTGTGTGAAAGATGTTCTCTTGAAGAACTCAAATCCCCTTTTTTCCCATTTTGATTCTTGGCAGTAGTTTCACTGCTCTTTCTCCTCTTCAGATTCCATCCAGTAGTGTTACCACACGACTGGACTTCCACCGGTTCAGCACAAGCAGATTGAATTGGGGGCTCTACTGTATCCTGCTCCGCAATACCAGAAATGGCATATGTAGACTTTTGGATTCCAATTCTTCTAATGGATCCACTTCCATTCTCTCCGTGCGCCTCCTCTCTAGAATGTTCCAGTTCCACTGTTACATTGTATACACAAACAGATCTAGGAACAGTTGATGGCCTAGATTTCTTCCTAAAATCACCCCCTTCAACAGTTTCATTGACTAACCTAATGGGTGACTCCCCTCTATGAATATTGTGGCTTCCTACTTGCACTTGTCCTACACGAATTGCCCGGCTTATGGTCTCTTCCTGCACATGCTCCACAACAATGAATATAGGATATGGGATTGGGAACAAGGAGAAGATTGCAGGAGAACCCTAGGATTATGTACTCCTCCAGTAATTTGTACTCCACCCAAAGATATATATGCACTCAAAAATTTAACAAGTTAATTGTCGAATCATTATTGGTAGTAAGTCTATTCATGTAGCACAAAGAATGAATTGAATTACTAAATGTATCCTTCAAATCCAACTTAGTTCATAATTAACCAATAGTTTGGGAAGACAAGCAAAAAGGTAATTCCTTTATGGGATATCCTGAAGGCCTAATAGCTGGATTTTCCAACAGAGGAAACACTTATGCTCTTATGCAGATATTGTGGCACTCCTAAAGAAGCGGCAACTACAAATTCATGGCTAGGTGGAGAATGAAACCAGCATTTTCTGATTTTTACTGCTATCTATCTAGCAAAGTGGATGAAACGTTAGGAACTATCATGCTAAGCTTAGCTAGCAAGCACAAATTAAACTGAACCATTGAGTACCTAGGTAGGGACTTGCAGATAGATAGAACATATTACGAATGAAGGATGAAATCGATGCAATTACATCCAAGTCATCTATTCAATGGCAACAGTCGTCCCAATATAGATGTAGGTCTCAGGAAATTTCGCAGATATGAAACGCAATCTGTTAGTTACTACACATTTGCTGCTATTAGAGCAAAAGTTATGATTCTGTAATTGGAACATTTTTAGACGCTGACATATGCATTTCAGAATTTGCTCATTTGCATCCACTCCGTGTAATGCGATGCGACCGGCCCAAGCAACCTACCTCCGGCAGCCGTGAGGACGTGGCAGCGAGCACGACAGTTCCCGGCGGCGAAATGACCTGAACACCGCTGTAGGCAGCAAAGCGCTCGCGGCCGTCGATGTCAATCTCGGCGCCGCAGAGTGGGCACGGCCAGCACGGCGCCGCATCCACCGCACGGGACCCGCGCGGCGGGCGCGGCGAGAGGCCGAGAGGTAGAGCGCGCCGCGGGCGCGGCGGTGGCGGAGGCATGAGCTCCGGCGGGAGTGCCTGCGGCGTGGCACAGCTGGGGCAGGCGAACTCCGTCAGGCCGCGCTCCACCTCCAGCGTATCTCCGCACCCCGCGCACCGCACCTCCAGGACCCTCTCCTCCTCCATTTGCGCCGCCGCCGCCGCTGTTCCCGCCGGCAGCGTGGAGATGCGCTAGGGTTTGGGTTTTTCGGGGTTTTTTTTTTCTCTCGACGAGGGGTTTGTTGGGGAAAGTGCACGCAGCGCTGTTGAATGATGCGCGACAAGACCCAAGAGGGCGTTGTCGTCATTTACTAGCTCCGACAGTCAGGCTGTCGGTGAAAGCAAAAATTCGAAGAGCGGGCACTTCCAATAAATTAGCGGCAGGATTTCGAAAAAAAAAATTGGCGGCAAATCATTTTCGTTTTTTTGGTCCAAATACTCCCCGTCTCTACTCTATGTGTGACCATTGTTCAACTTTGGTGCCCCAATACTCCCCGTCTCTGCTATCTCTCTCTCTCATGCTGCCATGCCGGTCAGTGCACTATACGAGAGCGAACCTGCAGTATTTATTTGGGCTATATCTTTTAGATTTTTTACTTAAAAGCCGCTTTTCGAGCTTTTAGTTTATGTCGGTTGGTTTTTTTATTGGCTCTTATAATAAATTTTTAGGTTCTTTTTGGTAGGATTTGTGTTATGGAAGTCTACCAAACAAGTATATCTCATACAACTAAAAAGAATAAAAGTAAGACTATTTTTTCGTGTAATTTTTTTTGGGGTCGCTCCTCCTTCCCGTCCATGCGATCCCGCGCGCCCGTCACCTCCCTCTTTCGCCCGTCCGTGCGATGGACCCGGCTCTACGCTCCCTCGCGCGCATGGTCTTCCCCTCCCCCTCTCCCACACGCGGACTCCTCTCATCATCCACACGGACGAACCCTAGCCCTCAATCACGCCGAGCTCGCCGGAACCCGCCCAACCCGAGCCCAATTCCGCTCGGGTCCCGGCCGATCCGGCGGCTCCTCACCAGCACGATCTGGGGCAGCGTCCCCCCGCAGATGCTAGCCTGATCGTGTCCCCACGGTCGATGGATTCACCCGGGTCCGCCAATGGCAGACGTGGCGAGTACGTGAGGATCCCGGAGGAGGTGGAGGTGGCATCCAAGGGGGAGGGGGATGCCGCGGCGGCCGTCAAGGCGGCCGTGGCGGCGGAGTGCCCGAGGGTGCTGCGGTGCCACGCGATCCAGTGGTGGGCCAAGGTCGCCGTGCTCGGGATCGTCCTTGCTGGAGCCGGAGCTGCTGCGGTCGTCTTCCTCGGCCCGCTCCTTATCAAGAAGGTGCATGTTCTCGCCCCGTCCCTCCTCCCTCCCCTCCGCCGCCGCCTCCTTTGAGGGGGATTGCTTGCATCACAGATCATGCAGAAATTGCTCGCGAACGGGAGATCTTTCCTATCACTTCTAAGTTCTGCTCCTGCTGTGTCCGTCGAATCATCGGTTGCGATGCGGTTTCGATTTGTGCAGGAATGCTTGGATATTTGTTGATATTTTTGTTTGTTTGTGGTAGAAACATTTTTCCTTTCTTGGTTTGTGTTGTTATATGTTTTTTTTGGCTAGCTCGTGAGAATAGGTGACATGACTAATTTTCATTTTGCCAATATTACCAGCAAAAGGATGAGGTTGTCAAGAGTTTTAGGATCTCAATCTGAAGCAGAGCTTAGAATAGAATACCAATAGATTTCGTTGAGATATCAGTTTTAAATATTACTGGGACCGTATAGGATGTCGTTGTTTAAAGAACACATTTAGCATTATTCCCAACTGAAATACAGGAGAAGGAGAAATGCTTTGCCAATTCTTGAAGTTTTGACATCAGCCAATGCCTCTCACTGGTATTTAGTGGCCCAATATGTGGGGTCTGCAGGCATGGTGCTCTGGACCTCCAGTAGTGTATGTGCTTTCACCAAAAGGTGGATAGGTAGGAATAGTCTCACAAACCAACTGGTTCTTGATTTTTTGGATGTTATAAGATGCGGTACAAATTTCCAGTGAACCTTATTGTGACGGGCATCATGGCTACAATTTTTTTGGTGGCCTTCTTAATTAAACAAACCCACTTTGGTTGAGAAAATCGTATTCGCAACAAGCAACTTCACATGGAAGTGATACCTGGAACAAGTACAGCTTGTGCTACCGTTCTGACTCTGGACCCACTTGAGTGGTCTTCCTTGGAAGCAAACTCTGTTGTGAAAGCTATTCCCCAGAGTTGGTAGAAATAGTTTTCCATTTTCTGTCCATGCTCCTGTTATCATAGTTAACTTCAGAAGGAATACTCCACAAGTCTTTTTTGGCAATATGTTTTTGTTGGATGTTGATGTAGTTGGTGATAAATTACACTTTACTAGCTTATTTTATTGTAGTGTTCACAGAATATTAATTGATCTCTTTGGAAGTCAATTTTTTTTGGGTGTCTACATTGGATGAGGGTGTCATGTGAATTTGTAGAGTAGACTTGAAATTGTCATAGTGTGCTATGACTCTTGGAAAACAAAAAAATCTTGCCCCAATGAGCCATAACATTCTGTTAATTCTAATCATTGCCTGTGATTGGCCTTTATATCTAAGATATGAACTGATGCTCCATCTGTGCTTGCGCTGCAACGTAAATTGACTGGAATGGACTGGTAATGCTATTAGTTGTGATATTTCTGGTTATAAAAAGGATTGAAATTGTTTTCAAATTAATGTTTACAACTCTACCTACAATTACTAACTAAACTTTATTATCCCTTACAAAGGTTTACAATATTAAGTCAGATCAGACACTTATCCTACATAACGATAAAGAACAAAGCGTGAACACTTTTTGTGCGACATTTGTTTTGGGTCTGCCTCTCCCGTGCGATACCGCGAGTCCGTGGCTCCATGCGCCGGCATGTGAAAGGGTGGGAAAAAATAAAGATTAAGAAATGATTCCTGATGCAAATGTATAAGAGGGAAAGAATATATAAATGTGTTAAATCCTCCGTCCGATCCACGTAGCAATCTAGCCATGGATGCTCCGCTCCCTTCTCAAGTTCTAGGTCACAGATCGCGGGACCATGTCTTAGCCCTTTGCGCTGTTCTAGGATTTGTATCATCGCGGCTAGGTAGTTCGACAACGTTTGGCTTGCGCTACAGAAAGGTCAGAAGAGCAATCGTATGCAGGCCTGCATGCTTCTGTAGGGAAAACAGCAAGAGACTGTCGTGTCGGACTTAACACAGGAGCCTGACATCCTTTGTTTTTTGTTGTTCTTTTACTTCTTGCTGATAGCATTGATTATATCATGTGTTTTTTGGATTATTTATTTAGATCTGATTATTTTGTTGGTGCTGCTATGTTCCAAGCTGGTGGAATTTAGTTCATAATTTTCTTGCCGTATGCACGCAAGACCATTGCGGTTGTCCATTCCTCACATGGCATTGTAAGGTATGGATTGGTATTTTTTTGCATCAGCAGGTGCTCAACATTTTGGCATTTGTTTCCAGGTTTTGTTAAAGAACTTTCCAAGGACAGGTATTCAGGAAATGGAGGTTATGATATGTAAGTTATCTTTGGTGTACTAGCTAATGGAGGAACTCCGATCCTCTTTGTTCTGCCTTTACACTTTACTGATAACACAGGTCAAGTTTGATTAGACGATGATTTAGGTATCTCTAGGCTTTCAGAATTGTGATACATGCATTTTTTTAGTTCAATACACGTTTGGAAAATTCCACTAGGTGCTGATGTATGTATTCTAGCTATACGTGTCTCGGTATTTTAGTTCTAGAGCAGAGGCTTCATCTCCGGCACCTGCGGTAGGCTACCTCCACTAATTCTAATTTTGAAGACGTTGTGCTTCCTAATTTCCATTATGACCTCATTTGATGGTGTTGTGCTTTCTTTGGTTAAGCAAGATTTTTTTTGTTTATTCAGATTTTTTTCAGGCCCACATGTCTTGGAACAGGCGACAAATTGGTCATTATGTGGCTACAGTCATCTGCAATATAGGCTGTGTGCGGTGACTCTTTCTGAATAGACCAAATTTGTGGACTACATGGATAGCAATGTCAGAATATTGCGGTCAGATCCTAATCATTTTTCACAAAGGCATCACCATGTTGTTAGAGAAAAACTACAACCTTTTGGCTTTCACTAAACCATCATAGTTTTGAGCTGACAGTGGTTGTTGAATTCGCAGTTTCCTAATCCTTGCTTCGTTCCCAGGTTGGTTCGGATAAGCTCTGCTTGGTTGAATGAAATCCAAAAATAACTTCAGTAGGGTTGCTTGCTAAACATATTGCCGAACATGGTTTCATGTCAGGTTTATATCATTTGGTTTCATCTCAGACAGTAATAGCTTCAGTAGGGTTCCTTTGCTGAACAGAGGTTTGAGGTTTCGTCAGGTTTATATCATTTTGTTTTATTTAAGTATTCTGTAAGGGAAAAGAATCAGTGTGGTTATGTTCGAATCAGTGTAGTGCATGGGACACTCCTTTAATTTTGTCAATCTTGTTTTTTTTTGCTAAAGCAGAGCAGCACGGGGCTTCAAGTTTTTTATACAAATTTGTTTTTTTTTTCACTTGGAGTGTAATCTAGGTTTCAGAACAACTACTTTAATATATTTTAACCTGATTCTCTGATATTTACACACCACTGATTGCTTGAATTTTTCACAAGATTGCTGAGATTCCTGGAATGCTTCAACACCAGTAAAACTGACAAATATTTATATTGATGTCCTATTGGGTATTTGAAACTATTGGCTATTTGAAACTCTGTCATGTCGTGCACTGTCTGTCCTATTATTGATATCACGAATCTATGTGAGCTATCTATCCCCAAGGGTTGCATAACCTGTAGCAATATCGAGATTCGTCACCCTTTGACAAACGTTCGCGACTTAATTCGGCCCATGACCAGCCCATGCAGCATCTTTGTTATATATACCAGCCTAAACTTCACACCCTTCTACTTCGCCGTCATTGAATCCTGACATGACAAAGCATTGGCATGCATATCCTTTAACCTCCATTGTGAATGCTCGGTTAGTACTGCCGTGGTCGGATAATATTTTGTTGTGAATGCTCGGTCCGTACTGAGGTGGTCCCATAATATTTTGTTCTCGTAGCAACGCACGGATATGATTCTATAGTATATGTCTTCGTAGAATAGTCCTAAAGCCACACATATTTATACGGTGAGTATAACATACTTTGTTTTAAGTTTTTTGAGAGATTTTTAAGTCATGCAGTATTATCCATGTGACAGACACTAATATATATATATATACTCGAACATACATATAAGATGGCATGGAGATGCGGCGGAACTTATACGTAGATTTATTGGCGCATGAAAGAAATGGTATCGGAGATTTCTTTCTACCGATATAAAACATTATCTTAGCCACATCACGGAAAGGTCTAGACGCTGCGCTCTTTGTGACTATGGTAATTTCACGAACTTTGCCTTTTGAATTAAATGTCATTTTAACGTCGATATTTAATTTCACGGTATTGTTATCTTATCGTGCGATCCATGTGTTTTTAGTATAAAAGTTTAGCTATCCCGTAGCAACGCACGGACACGAACCTAGTACGAGAACTACTTCTGAAGTCAAAACTAGAGTAAAAGTAGCGAAGCCGAAGCTATGAAAAATGTGGCTTGTCCTTACTTCACCATTTTTTAAGAAGCCAAAACTCTCCTAAAGAGACCCTTGGCTTCTTAACATATTGCTCTTCTCATCATGTAGAAGCTACATTTTCAGCTTTTCAGAATCCAGCTCACAGCTGGATTGTTTGTTTTAACTATTGTCTGGCAGAAGCCAACAAAAAGGTAAAACAAATAGGTCCTAAGTCTCTCTTTAATATAGTTTTGAACGAGTTTGGCTTCACTTGCAGACAACACTACACTAACATATACTCCTCCCTAACATTAACTAAGAGCAGGTGAGGCCACATCTTTTCTTTTTCTTTACTAGCTCATGGTAACCATTGCAGAAACCAAAGCCGTGAAAGTCATGCCAAACAAGGTCTAAGAGTATCTTTAAGAGCTCTTTAAAACAACTCTTTAATTATTTTTATGGAAAGAAGGAAAAACAATCCCGCAACAATTGTATATCTAAATTCTCTACAGATAAATACTTGGTAAATCTCCTCTCCAACTCCCAGATACGCACACGTGCATTCATGCTACATATTATGCCTCTCAAGCGGTTTTTCCATGGTTTCTCCCACCTGTCCGGTTTTCTCCTTCTCTTGCATGGTTTTCTTCTGTGTTCCCAAACCTAGCTACCTCCCAGCCAACCGGGAGCTGGATAGCTGGTTGTGGCTAGCTAAGGAGCTTTTTTTGGCTTGCTAGGGGTAGCGAG